ATTCTGGTTTTATTTCAACCAACCACTAATGCCTGTGAAGAAGGAAAAAACACAAAATAGGGATGTTACTCAACTAAAATTGCAGTGTATATGTTAGCTGCTCTCTAGATTTCTTGGACCTATGAGCATTTTTTTTATAGTCATGCTAGTCCTTTTTCTGTGTATATATATGTGTTATTTTTTAATACTACTAAATATTTTAATCCCTTATTCTTGGGTCATCATTAAAAGGGAAGAAAATAGCCCATATACCCACCCCTTTCTAGCTGAAATCCTTTAATTCTATTTTTAAGTTCAGAAAAATCTCAGAGATCATCCAGACACCAAACACTTTGGAAGAAAATTTTCACCAGAAGTTAGGTGATAATCCCAGACACTTATCTACTAGCTAGTTGCCAAAGCCAAAACCCAAGTCTCCAGGCTTCCCACTAACACCTTGTCTCCTCTTTACATTACAATGAAGCGCCACTCATAAGAGATAAGACCAAAAGTAATCACTCAAGCAAAACTGAATGCAAGCCACCTAGAAAACATGCTTCCTTTTTAATCTGAAGGATATCATTTGCCTTTAATTCCATTAAACCAGAAATAAAGACTGCCAAATAAATATTAAAATGAGTCTTGCCATGCTGTGTTCATTAGAAATAAGAATTTTCCAATTTTAACTTATAGTATAGTTTTGAAATGTGGATCCCAGTTAACAGTCTGGATGTATAAAACTCAAAAAATTCAGAAATAATTATGGTTAACACTCCGGTGTGGGGTGAATTTCCCGCCAAAATATAAGATGGCTCTGTCTTTTGGTTTTGTTCCATCCACCAAAAGGGTGGATTACAAACAAATATTTGGTAATACGCAGTTACAATCGGCCCGAGTTTACACGTTTCCCGCACTCCACCGCAAATCTATATGAACCGAGTTAAAGACGGCTCCCGCGGAGTACGCGCAATTCACGCGAGCCGACTTAACTCGTTTCCCGCACTCCAAGTGTATGTGTGTGAACAGTGGAGAATAAGCACTTAAAAGAACGTTATAGCCCTGACCGGTTTGGCTCAGTGGATAGAGCGTTGGCCTGTGGACTGAGGAGTTCCAGGTTCGATTCCGGTCAAGGGCATGTACCTTGGTTGCGGGCACATCCCCAGTAGGGAGTGTGCAGGAGGCAGCTGATCAATGTTTCTCTCTCATCGATGTTTCTAACTCTCTATCCCTCTCCCTTCCTCTCTGTAAAAAATCAATAAAATATATTTTAAAAAAAGAACGTTATAAAAATATCTCCAAGTCTCTTGAAATTAGCCAGTTTTACATTAGATACCACATTGGGATGATGTGTTTACAAGAAATTTGATGGAGCACAGTATTGAAGGATAACATGTTACTAAATGATATGCCTACTCTATTCTAGTTGAAATATGAATTGGTTTAAAATAATTCCACTAAAATGGCAAAACGGTATCCCTGGACCACCTTCTTTTTCATCCTTGTAGCCCCAAACACTGAGCACAGCTCTTGCTGTAGATGTACCAATTATTTACTGATGTCAAGATGCTTGTTCAGGAGCATGGAGAGGGAAGTTGGAGAATCATCCTACTCCCCTCCAAGTGAAAATCTACAATCTTCCTAAAGAACCCAGAAACAATATTTCTAAATGCTAGCTTAGAAGTGCATAAGAAAATTGTAGAGAAACCAGATAGAGACTGCTGCTTCTATCTGATAGGGGGCGATGCCGCGGGCATAACCAACTGGACAGTCGTTCAACAATTCAAGACGTAGGAATGGTCTTAATTTCTGAAGGAAAAAAGTCTGAAGAAATTACTTGTGACCAGACATGGTTAAGATGGAGACTAAGCTGAAAAAACGCAGGGCGTACCCTGTAAAGAATGAGAAAATAGACTTCTTAGCTTGTTTATAACAACGGGAGGCCGCTGTACATGAATTGCACATATAAGTCCACAGTGTAAAGATGAAAAGGTCATGTAAACAGTTCGTGTTTTTAAAAGTTAAAAGCGAAAGCTATGAATTTTTTTTAAAAAAATCACATGCATTAGTGTTCAGTATTAGGAACTGATGAGAAAAGCAAGTCGCACACATGGTTCCCACCGAAATCCCGTCCGTCCAGGTCCCTAACGGCCCGCACCCCGCTAGCGGTCTCGCCCACGCCCCGCCCCTGCCCGCGCGGCGCCCACGTCCCCGGGTTCCCTCGTGCACGGCCTCCGCCCTCATGCCAGGGTCCCAGAGAGGTTCTAATAACGCGCCTGCTCCCAGCGGGCCCCCAGCGGCAAAGCGGCTCCGCCCGCAAGCGGGCCCGCGAGGGGCGGGAGGGACGCCGGCGCGCGAGGCCTCTCGGGCCTGCCAGGCCAGCGGCCGCGGGACGAGGGCGGGGATCGGAAGGATACGGAACCCACGGGCATCTCCGGGGGGGTGAGGCGTCCCTCGGCCGCCCAGCCCGGCCGCCCCGCCGCCTCTGGTACCGAATCTGAACCGTGGTCCTGTAGAAACTTGATAATGTCCTTCTTGGGCAGCTGCTCGCTGCGCAGCTGCTCCACGGTCCAGGCCCGCTGTGGGACAGCCGCCGCCATCTTCCCCCGCTGCCGCGGCTTTACTGAGCCGGCCCGCGGCGCTGCGTCGCCCCGCCCCCAGGGGCGTGGCCCCGGCTCGGCGCTGAGGGGGCGGGGCCACTGCGCCACCCCGCGAGACTGGGCGGCCCTTGAGTGACGTCTAGGCGGCGCTTTGAGGGCTTCTTTTTTGAGTCAGGGTAAAACCCAGCTGATGTGACCCTTGCAGATGATGGCACGCTGTCATCTATTATTAGTTGGAACCCCTGTGAGGAGACCTGATATTTACCCACAATTGTTTTTAACGTCGGGCTACTATGCCTTTTTAATATATATGTTTATTTAAAGGAAGTGCCCTTTTTTATACTTTATTGATTTTAGAGAGAGGAAGGGAGAGGGAGAGATAGGAACATCAATGATGAGAGAATCATTGATTGGCTGCCTCCTGCACGCCCCGAAACGGGGCATGTGCACCTGGGACCCTGCAGTTCGTAGGCTGATGCTCTATGCACTGAGCCAACGGGCAAGGGCTACTATGCCTTTAAGTCTATAACCTGCTAAAGAAAATAATAGAGACTTCAGGCATCTAATCTCATTTTATCTAGTTCTAGCCCAAATATTTACACCTAAATTGACTCATTTCTTGTCCATCAAAACAACCCTTATCTGACCATCTCCTTTTTGAGACTCACACAAGAGAAACAGTTTGCCTAAAAGCAAATTCAGAACTTGACCAAATAAAGCGTTAATATTAATATTCAAAATACCTCATAATGTGTGTATACTTTCCCTCACTATACAAGGAAACAGATTTGTAGAGGTTAAAGTCGCCAGGTTTAGAGTAGGTGGAGAAGTCTGAGAAAGTTATTGTTAAAGTAGACATACCACACCAACCATATTTATAAAGATGTAAAGGAGTACCAGACGCCTTTTTTCTTTCGGATTTTCCAACAATATCAGCACCAAACCATTTAATTCCTCTTAGCAATAAAAACAGTAAGATAATGGGTTGTCACGCCTAATACTGCAAAAAAGAGACCTGACATTTTGTTTTCTCAGCCTGGACAGATAAATAAATAGGACATTTAATTCAATTGAAACAATTTCGCTTTTCACCTTATCTTCTGATTTAAAAACACAACAAGGAATAAGAACATTATAGATGATCGATAACGTTAAGTTCACAAAAAATATGAGTATCCATTGTCCTGGGGATCTCCAGCTTATTTATTTTTATTATTTTAAGCGATACCACTTTAGCAATGACGCCCTAACACAGTGGTTCTCAACCTTGGCTGCACATTAGAATCACCTGGGACTATTTTTTTTTTTTTTTTTTTTTGGTGCCCTTGACCGGAATCGAACCTGGGGACCTTCAGTCCGCAGGCCGATGCTCTATCCACTGAGCCAAACCAGTTAGGGCTGGGAATCTTTTTAATATCCTGATTTCTGGGCCTCATCCTCCAGAAATTCTGTTTCTTTGTTATGGGGTGAGGCCACAACATTAGTAACAAAGAAACAGAATTTCCGGAGGATGAGGCCCAGAAATCAGGATTTTAAAAAGATTCCCAGGCGATTCTAATGTGCAGCCAAGGTTGAGAACCACTGCCCTAAGACCTAGTCATTGGAGAAGGAACTGAAATTCAGAGTCTATAGGAAAACTGAACATGGGACCAAATTTAGAGTAACTCCAAAACAATGCTCACGCCTCCCGGCTTGGCTGCCGGGTTTCCGGGAAGCCAGCCAATCATCTCCCCAACGCGCTCTCAGTGGCGGCATTTTCAACTGGGTAAGCTGTCCTCGGCCCCGCCCCGTGTCCCACTGTTCGGTGCGGAAGTAACAGATGGAGATCGGCCCGTAGCGGTTCGGCTGGAGCCCGGGAGAAGCCTTTGGGGGCCGGAGGCCTAATGAGCGGCCGGCAGAGAACGCTTTTTCAGACGTGGGGCCCTAGCCTCTCCCGATCCGCCGGGGCTCCGAGCTGCAGCTCCGGAACCGAGCGGCCTCAGAGCCCCGGCACCTCCCGGGCGCGTTCTCCTGCCCCCGCGGAGGCTGCCGACGAACAGCCGGAGTCAGACGATGATGTGTTGCTGGTCGCGGTGTACGAGGCAGAGCGGCAGCTGAATCTGGAGAATGGCGGGTTCTGCGCCTCAGCGGGCGCGCTGTGGGTTTACCCTACTAATTGCCCCGTGCGCGACTACCAGCTGCACATCGCCCGGGCCGCCCTGTTCTGCAACACGCTGGTGTGTCTGCCCACGGGGTTGGGCAAGACCTTTATTGCCGCCGTGGTCATGTACAATTTCTACCGCTGGTTCCCATCAGGCAAGGTGGTCTTCATGGCCCCCACGAAACCTTTGGTGACACAGCAGATCGAGGCTTGCTACCGCGTGATGGGTATCCCGCAGTCCCACATGGCCGAAATGACAGGTATTTCAGAAAGAACGGGCTAATTTGAAATTGAGCTTGGTAGGGCAAAGTACCTGTTCCGGTGGCAATGGAGCTAAAGAAGTTCCTGACCCATGTGGAATGGTCCCCAGATCATATGTTTATCTTGCATCCTCTCCCTTAAAACCTCATCTACGGGCATACGTCGTTTTAATTGCGCTTAGCTTTGGGCTTCACAGATGTTGCAGTTTTTACAAATTGAAGGCAAGAGCCTCCACCAGCTGAAAGATTAACAGTTGCTTTCTTGTGGCTGCCTAGAAGTGAACCCGCAATGTCTCTGAAGTATGCCGATACTTGTAGCAGGTCCAGCGATAATGAATAGAATTGCTTTATTCAGTCTTCAGAACCCCCCCCCTCCCCCGCCGCTAGCTTGTCAGAGTATTTTGAAGCTAATAACTGTGTATATGTACCTCATCGGTTACCCAGTTTCACTTTTATTTACAGGATCTACTCAAGCTTTCACCAGGAAGGAAATATGGCACAATAGGAGAGTCATTTTTCTCACACCTCAAGTCATGGTAAATGATCTTTCTAGAGGAGCTTGTCCTGCTGCTGAAATAAAGTGTCTAGTTATTGATGAAGCTCATAAAGCTCTTGGAAACTATGCTTATTGCCAGGTAATATTTTGTTTAAAAGTTTGGGGTTTTTTTTTGCAAATGCATTTTATTTATTTACTTTTCAGTAAGCTTAAATCCTTGGGGGGGACAGCATTACATGGATTCTGTGTCCAGTTATATTCTGTGCCCCATTATAGCCTTAGCAGGAATGTGGCTTTGCAATTAAGGACAAACCGTGCCACAGTTTCCATGAGCACGAGTTACCTTTCCGCAGATTACTCTGGTTTTGTTCGGTTTGCTACCAGCAGTCACTGTGTTGTTCTTTGCTTTGCACACATAAGCACATCTCCTGCTTAGATAGAATTCAGTTTCATCTCAAGCATAAACACCTTCAATTTTAAGAAGAGTTGTGTGCCCCCTCTTGTTCCTGAGACCTCCCCCCATTATAGCCTGCAAAAATGGCCTTTCCTTGCATACATTTTGTCATTTAATCCTTCAAAACAATATTCCTTCAAAGACCACAGCCTTCCAGACATATTTGTCTTTTAGAAGTCCTGTTCCCAGCAGGCCTTCACAGGGTCCAAGATGGTGGAAAAAGCTAAAAGTATTTTTTAGTGTAAACATTGTTAAAGAGCATTTTGGGGAATAACTGTTAATGATGGAAGTTATTGATTGTGACATTATTATGAAAAGCCTTATCTATTATCTCAGGACAGTGATAGAAAATACTATTCTCTAGCCATTCAAATCAGTATCTCTGCCGTAGTTTTTTTTTTTTTTTTTAATGCTTAACAAGGTTATTAGTGTCTGATGCAGATGACAAGAGCCTAGTCATCATTGAGGCAGTGATTCATCGTAGGGTCTCGCTGAGGTTTTGTAACTAAGATAATCCAGAAATTGGTAGTGGGTATGCAGTGTCATTCCTTGGCAGGTAGGTAAAATAATACTTAAACATTAAGGTTGTTTTGAAGGATTAAATGACAAAATGTATGCAACATACTTATGGTGCCTTCCAGTTAAGTATTATCTATATACTAGAGTCCCAGTGCACGAAATTCGTGCACGGGGATGGGGGGTGGGGAGTCCCCTCAGCCCAGTTGCACCCTCTCCAATCTGGGACCCCTCGGGGGACATCCCTCTCGCAATCCAGGACTACTGGCTCCTAATCGCTCACCTGCCTGCCTGCCTGGCCGCCCCCAACTGCACCCCTCCGCCGGCCTGGTCGCCCCTAACTGCCTCCCTGCCAGCCTGATTGCCTCTTACTGCCCCTCCCCCCCCAGGCCTGGTCACCCCCAACTGCCCCTCTTGCCAGCCTAGTCGCCCCACGCAGCCTGCTTGTTCAGTCGTTTGGTTGTCCCTCACTAACCCCCCTGCCAGCCTGGTCGCCCCATGCAGCCTGCTGTTCAGTCGTTTGGTCGTCCCTCACTAACCTCCCTGCCGGCCTGGTTGCCCTCAACTGTCCCCCCTGCTGGCCTGGTTGTAGGCAGCCATATTGTGAGGGTGTTATGGTCAATTTGCATATTACCTCTTTATCATATAGGATATAAAAGGCTAAGCAACCAACCATCCATCCGTCTGACTGATCAGCCAGTACATATGATGCACACTGGCAATCCTATATAATAAAAGGGTAAATGCAAATTGATCAAACAGCAGAATGACTGGTCACTATGGCACGCACTGACCACCAGGGGGCAGACGCTCAATGCAGGAGCTGCCTCCTGGTGGTCAGTGCGCTCTGTGGGAGCACTGCTCACTCACAAGCCAGGCTGACAGCTGGTGAGTACAGCAGCCTGTCTCTGCAGCAGTGCTAAGGATGTCTTACTGGGGGTTAGGCCCGCTCTCTTTGGGGAGCGGGCCTAAGCTGTCAGACATCCCCCGAGGGCTCCTGGACTGTGAAAGGGCACAGGCCAGGCTGAGGGACTCTCCCCCCCCCCCCAAGTGCACAAATGCATGCACTGGAACTCTAGTCTGTATATATAAAAGGCTAAGTGACCGACTGTACGTCTGTCTGACCAACCGACCGACTGGCCAGTACATATGACGTGCACTGGCAATTTAA